TCCCAGGCTGCCTTTCTTTCTTTCTTTCTTTCTTTCTTTCTTTCTTTCTTTCTTTCTTTCTTTCTTTCTTTCTTTCTTTCTTTTTTTCTTTTTTTTTATATTTATTTATATGTATCCAGTGTTCGGCCTACATGCCAGAAGAGGGCACCAGATCTCATTACAGATGGTTGTGAGCCACCGTGTGGTTGCTGGGAATTGAACTCAGGACTTTGGAAAAGCAGCCAGTGCTCTTAACCTCTGCTCTGAGCCATTTCGCCAGCCCCCCCCCCTCCGCCCCCCCTTGCTGCCTTTGAATTGGCTATGTAGCTGAAGATGGCTGGCCCTCCTGCATCTCACATCCTGCATGTTGGGACTTCAGGCATGAGTCACCATGCCTTGTCGCCATGCCAGATTTATGTAGTGCTGGGCTTCCAACCCAGGACGTGGAGCTGCTAGGCCAGCAGTGTGCTCACTGACCCACATCCCCAGGCCTCACTGCTTCTCTGGACACAGGTTGTTTTGTTTTGTTTAGCTGCTTCATTGGGAAAAAGCTGGTGTGTGTGTCTGTGTGTGTTCTAAAATTTAAGGTCGGCTGAAGAACAAGGTTCTGAAAAGGAGTGTGGTGCGAGCCGCTGGCTTCTCTGTAACCTACAGTTTTGCAATTGGAAAGAATGTCTGTGGCATGCTAGGCATCCGGGTCTTTGGGTCCACCCACAAACAGCATGTGACCCTCCTCTAAGCAGATGACCAGGAAGTGGAGGTAGCAGTGTGATACACATCTCCTTTCTTCTAGCCTGGGGATGCAGGGAGTGAGCTGCCCCGCCTCTTCTGGGAAGCTTCCTGCACTGTGGGGCTAGCGAGATGTCTTTCCAAGCATATATCTGCCCCGATTTTCAGGTAGCTTTCTTACAGCAAAAGGAGATTTGGGTTCCTCAGTTGCTGCTGGACCAAGACCTGAGCCTGGTTTGTGTTCCTCAAAAGTGCTTTCTAGAGCACAGTTGGTGATTCTGTTTTCTGCCTCCTGGGTAGGAGGTGCACTCTGACTTACTGTCAAGCCTGGTTCTGCCGCTCCTTCGCCGGGATGCTGAGCAAGCTCCCCTCCCCGAGATTCCATGTGATAGGTTTGGGATTAAAGCTGCCCTGGGCTAAGGCGGTGCTGGTGTGTAGAGCACCCAGGACGTCATCTATCTCCCCATCATGAAGCAGAGGTAGCTTTGGGTGGGAGATTGTTCAGCTTTTCACTGCGTTCCTCCTGCACTAGCCTTGTCTTTGCTTCTGTCCACATAGTGCATTCTAGAGCAGAAGCACTCTAGGTGTCCCGAATGTCCAGGAAGCCGGGCAGGCCGCTCTCCTCTTGCTAAGGCCTTCTTGGGTCCTTCCAGTCTCTCCTGCCTCCAGGTGCCTCACATGCTGCACCTCCTCTGTCAGTTTCTGAGCCTCACAATCAGGTGCTAAATTTTCTGGTGTGGGGTTTCACGTGGTTCAGAACATCTGGCTCGGCAAGTCTCATTCCAACAGATTCCATGAGCAGATGGGGTGCTGTGCATCTGCCTCTCAGCTCCACAGTGCTCCCTGTCCCTGTGTGACTAAGTACCTAACAGGGAGGCGGGTGTGATGGTGAGTGAGCTCCTCTCTTCTCCATCCTCTTGTTCATCCCTTAATGGTTTTTCATGTAGCCAGAGTCTTTGCAGGGCGTTTGCATCATCACTTCTTTTCCCTCAAACCACCTGCTGTCTCCTTCCGTTCCTCCTCTCTCTCCCAAGAACGTAATGTGTAACAAGGCATGGCAGGCGGTGCATAAATAGGCAGGATAGGCCCAGGGTCAAGCTGGGCCGCCTAAAGGTTAAGGTCAGAGCTTGGGTTGCAGAGCAAGATCCTGTCCCAAAGTAAAAGTGTGATTTGTAGAAGGTACCTGTTTCTGACAGCTGTCACTCATTTCTCCTTATCTCTTTGGCTCACCTTTGTCCTGGAGGGAATGCGGCGTGTGACTGTGTGACAGTGTTTCCAAGGGCAGTGGACAGGCTTGGGCACTCCAGTGACCTGAAGTAGGTTTTCTGATTGAGCCCCGGGTCTGGGAGTGGGATCTGAGCTCCTTGCCGGCATTGTCAAGCTTTCTGACTGCTGAGGGACTTCCAGCAAGGTTTACTTGTTGAGGTAGATGGAAGTTGGCAGTAAAACTTATCGCTGGTAAAAATAGCGTGTGTACCCTTGAAATTGATGTTTTGTTTTCTGTCAGTATCACTTTATATTGTTCAAGTATGAGATAGCTTGGTGAGTGGGGATTATTTTTTTTAAACTTTTTATGATTCTTTGTGGTTTCCACATCATGTACCCCAGTCCTGCGTATCTCCCCCTCAAAAAAATAAAACACACACACACAAACACAGAAAAACAGCGTGGAAGCTATGGTATGTCACAGTGTGTCCCACGGTATATCCCTCTGTCCATACATCTTTACTTGCAAATGCTGGTTGCAGTGAGTCATCGGTCTGGTTCAAGGTCTCTGGCTTCTGTCACACCATCTATATTGGATTATACTGGGACTCTTCCCACTTATCTGTTGTGCCCTGTGTCATGGAGATCCTTTGGGTCAGCAGGATTGGCCCTTTCACCAATCCCAACTGTTCCAGATGATACCGATTTTGGGATGGGTCAACTCGGATCTGGGTTCAGGCTCTTACTCATCCTCACCGCCAGGGTGAGCTCTCCAGCACTGCTCGGGCTAGGCTGCCCAATGCCTCCGTTGGCAGGAGGCAGGGTCAGCTCTCCTTCTGTCATGCCCTTGGGGCCTGCTTACCCTACCCACCCCTCCAGGGCCAGCTCCCTGCACACCTTTGCAACACCCGCTCTCCTGCCCTCTGGCCCTCGCCAATGGAGGGGCCAGCTCTCCCGGCTTGTTGCAGGTGGTGAGGGAAAGATGGGGGACATCACCCCCACAAGTGGGAATCATTTTTAATTTCAAATAAACTTTGCTTTAGTCCTCTGCGTAGTAATGCAGTGATGAAAGACTGACTCCTGATCCTAGCAAAGCTTTGACTCCCTAGAGCATTGATTTTTGTGCCTGTGTTCCTATCGTTAGGTTGGCTGGTGTTTTGTTTTGAGACAGGGTTTCTCTCTGTAGCTCTGGCTGTCCTGTAGACCAGCCTGGCCCAGCTGCACAGCCACGGAGATCTACCTGCTCTCATCAGAGCAGGGACTATAATACAGGCTTGCACAATCGTGCCCAGCCTAGTAACCAATTTTAAAGTTATAATTGTGTGACTACATCACCTAGATATTGTCTCTCTTGTCCTCTGCTTTCCACTTACCCCTCTGAAACAGGATCATACGTCAAACAAAAATGTGTTTGTGGTTACCTGAATCAGTTGTAGGAACCACCAAGCTCCAGTACCAACAGTAAAGGATGTGGTAAATACAGTTTTTCAAATGTCACTTGGATTTGTGTGTGTGTTTGTAGACTTTGGGGGATAGCAGAGACTCAGTGGTGGTTTCAGTGATGGTGTGAGTTCCATCGTGGCTGGCACAGTTGCACAGGGATGGTTTTATCTGTACATAGAGAAACAAGCCCTCCTCTTACCTCAGTCTGCATTTGGTCCGTTTGAATTTCCCTCCATGTTGCTTCTGAAGGAAGGGTTGGATGAGTGATAGCAGTGAAAATATAGTGGGACCTCGTGTGTAGCTTTACATTTTCTGATAGCTTACTTTTAAAAATAGGTGCAGTTGGGAGAGATGGCTCAGTGGTTAAGACCTCTGCTCTTACAGGGGAATTGAGTTTGATTTCCAGCATGCACACAACTGCCTGTAACTCTAGGCCCAGGGGTCCGTCCCATGCCCTCTTCTGGCCTCTGTGAGTGCCAGGCATGCATGTGGTACACAGTTATATGTAAGCAGAACACCCATATACATAAGTGGATATAATTAGCTTTAAAAAAAAATAAGTGAAATTGAGAAATCATTTTCTTTAGCTCAATAAGTCTATTTTTTTTTGTTTGTTTGTTTTTGAGACAGGATTCCTCTGTGTAGCCTTGGCTGTCCTGGAACTTGCTCCATAAACCAAGCTGGCCTCAAACTCTCAGATATCTGCCTGCCTCTGCCTCCCAAGTGCTAGGATTAAAGGCATGTGCCACCATCATCCAGCTAGCTATAAATACAATTGTTAATGAGATGCATTGCTTTTATTGGGCTGTCTGAATCCATATGCATTAACACTTGTGGTTTATTTCCATTTGAACTAAGTCCTGCCTATGTAGTTGTGAGCACACCTCACTAGCTGCATAGGCATCTTGGCTATGTGGGGTGCTAGTCCCTCAGCTCTGTTTATTGAGATTACAGCCTCTATCCCTCAACTCTTTGTTGTCATTATTGTTTTGGTTTGGTTTTTGAGACAGGTTTGTGTGTGTGTGTGTGTGTGTGTGTGTGTAGCCTTGGCTGTCCTAACACTAGCTCTGGAGATCCACCAGCCTCTGCCTCCCAAGTACCAAGATTAAAGTCGTGCACCACCCTGCCCAGCTCTTCTTCAACTTTGTAATTCTTGGGCAGGATTTATAAACAGAGATGAAAAAAGGACCATCCACACTGGAGTCTTAGAAGGTCAGTTTGTTTGCTCAGGAACATAGTAAGTGGTTCAATATCCTGTTGATAAAGTCTTGCAGCCCACTCCAAACAGGGAAAGGCATGGCTGCCTCTGCAGACACCCACGGAGGGTGTGCTAGCTTCACTTGGTGGTGCACACCTTTAATCCCAGCACTGGAGGCATAGGAAGCAGGTGCCTGAGTTCAAGGCCAGCCTGGTCTACATAGGGAGTTCCAGGCCAGCTGGCTAGATAGTGAGGCCCCAGCTTCTCTTGAAGAAAAGTAAAAATAAGGGGCACACTTACTCAAATCTGTGGCAAAGCCCTTAATCATTGGTCCCATAGCTCGTCTGGGGGATGAGGGAGTTTCTCTGTGGGTAAGGAACAGTAAGAAGTAAATCAAGCAATAAATGAAGACCTTGTCTTTATCTTTTCATTTAGTGGAATAGAAGATGAACCCAACTGAATTCAGTGAAGATGTAGAAGAAGGTAAAAAAGTTTTTAACTGAATATTTTGAATAGGTTACATATTCATATAGTCTCAAATTTTAAAAAAGTATTTAATGAAAAGCCTTCCTACCACTGTTGGCAGCTTCTGTTTCAGGTTGCTTCCTCAAAGCACAGAAAGATAATATTTAGGGGTGGGGTTGGTTGTAGTTCAGTTTTAAAGTCTTTGGCTTGGGTTGGTTAGATCTACCGCACACATGAGATAATTATTTTTTACCCATTATCTCCTCTCTGCAAGACTTTTAAACCCACTTTGAATTGAAACATGATCTTACTGTATAGCATTGGCAGGCAGTAAGTAGGAAAAAGATCATGTTGCTGGGAAGTGCCAGTCAGCAGCATCCTTGAGTGACAGTGTTAGAGGGTGGCCCACAAACACCTGTCACTTAGAGAACCCTGCTGCTCTCCCAGCAGCCGTGGTCTTTCCTACTGAGCCCCATTTTTTCTCTGCCATAGTTCTAAAGAATAACACTGTGAAGGTAGAGGGCGACGATGCTGCTGCTGCGCTGGACTGCTCCCGGAACTCCAGGGCCCCTGAGAAGCACCCTCTGGACGGCGTCCTCACTGCCCTCCAGGATCCCAGCAAGCGGAAGCAGCTGGGCAGCGACGGCCAGCCAGACCCTGTCCCCAGTGTGAAGAGGAGGCGGTTGATACCTGAGGTGAGGGCCTCACCCCCTCTGGTCCAAGATGAATCTCTGCACTCGTGGACATCTGTGCAGCTGTTGAGTTCTTGGGCATGAGAGGGGTTTCACTTAAGCTGTCTCACTTCTAGCTTCAGCTTTTAGAAGGTACTCAGCTGAAATAGTCACCTATGTCCTTATGGGAATAGCAGAGTCTTTATAACACAACTGCTTTTGAGTTACGTGTTTTGCTCTGCCTTTAGGGATGACAAAAACAGTTAACAGATGACCACCACGGCTGTACCTGCAAGGCTGATCCTGGGAAAGTTGGAGTTGCAGGACTTTTCCTAGATTAAGCCTGCATTTATATACACAAGGGACTATTCCCTAAGGAACTCTCAAGTGAATCTTCCTTTCTGCCACAGTTTATCCTCTCTCTATGTATGTTTATGTATGTATATGTACACACACACACACACACACACACACACACACACACACACATATGGCAGTGGTTGGCCTCAAAAGAGACCCAGAGGCCTTAGCAGTCCTGGGATTCAAGGCATGCACCGCTATGCCGTGCTTTTTTCTTTACTAGAAGCTGAGCCCTGCCGTGGTATTGGGCATCATTTACCGCCAAGCTGCATGCCAGATCTTTTTGTACCTCTTATTTTATTAAACAGAGTCTTCTCAAGTTGCCTACTCTTAGTCAGGCATGGTGCCCCAAGCCTTTAATCCCAGGAGACAGAGGCAGGTGGGTCTCTGTGAGGTCAAGGCTAGCCTGGTCTATAAATCAAGTAAAGGACAGCCAATGCTACAAAAAGAAACCCTGTGTCGAAAACAGAAAAACAAAAGAAAAAAAAAAGTTGCCTCTCCTGGGCTTTTAACTTACTTTGTAGCCCAACAGGCCTTGATCTTGCCATTTCTCCTGCCTCCGCCTCCTGAGTAGCTGGCATTATATAATTGTCTGAATTTGCTACATTTTCTTCTTTCTTCTTCTTGACAAAGGCTCACTGCTTTAGCTGACCTGTATACTACCTATGTAGATCAGGCTGGCTTCAAACTTGCTGAGCGCCACCTACCTCTGCCTGCTGTGCTAGGATTTACACCACCACACCCAGCTGCTGCATTTTGTAACCTCACTGAAAACTCCAGCTGCTAAGTCAGACCCAGGTCCCCTTAGCCCTTTCATTCCTGTCCCTCCAGATGATTCCTTGCCTTACTGCAACCTTCATACAGGATCTTCTCTCTGTACCCACACTTCTAATTCCCTGTGGACCCCCACCTCTAAGGTGTGAGCAAGATCTCCTTAATCCTTTCCTGAGGCTCCCTCAGCCTTTTCTTTTAACCCACCTCTATTGTCTCTTCTACCCACCAGCCTACAGAAGCACTGTCTACCAGGCAACCTAAAGAGACTTGTGAAAATACAGTTGAATGAAATAGTGAAAGCAGTTCATGAATGACAGAATTTAAGAATGAACTAGAATCATTAAGGAAACTCAAAGTAGGGTAAATCTGAAAATGAAAAACTTAGGAAGTCAAACAAAAACCTCAGAAATAAGATCCACCAACAGAGGCATGGACATTTGCTTGTTGTCTTGAGCTGGGCTATGGGCTGAGAGAGGGAGAGAATGGCACATTTGCCTCTCATAGGCTTCCGTTCAAGTGGGAAGTGAAAGGTACTCGATGAAGCAGTAGGGACTGAGGAAGGAGGCCTGAGCAGGGCGTGTAGCTAGGATGGAGCTTTCTATGGTCCTGCAAAAACACTTTTATTTTAGTTCTAGGAAAACATTTCCCCAGCGTGTTGCCATACTTGCCTTTGGGAGAACCAGATATGAATTCTAGCCTGCATGCGCACACAGCTTGGAATTTTCAGTCCTGTGCACCAGGGATTCTGTCCTCTCCATGAATGCCTTCCCTCTGAGACAGAGAGGCTGCGCTGCCCTGGTTAGCCCGGAACACTCTACAGCAGAAGCTCATCTCAAGTTTCTGATCCCACTGCTTCTACCTCTGTAGCTCCATCTATAGGTGTTCAGGAGTGTGCCTGGCTTATCAGTGTAAGGGGTGGAATCCAGGGACGCTGGGCGAGCAGTGTGCCAACTGAGCCACATTTCCAGCTGTAGTCACTGTTCTTGTGCTGTGAGGAGACAGTGTTACCAAGGCCACTCTTAGGAAAGAAAGCATTTAATCAGTTTCAGAGGGTGAGTCCATTGTCAGGAGAGGTAGCTGAGAGCTGTATGCAGACCGTGGGCAGAGAGGCAGGCAGAACACGCCCCCAGTGACATACTTCCTCCAACAAGGCCACACCTCCTCATCTTCTGGTGACTAATCTCTGAACCTGGGGGGGGGGGGCATTTGCATTATTTATTTATTTACTGTCTTTCTTTTGGTTTTGTGAGACAGGGTTTCTCTGTGTGGCCTTGGCTGTCCTGGACTTACTTTGTAGACCAGGTCAGCCTTGAACTCATAGAGACCCACCTGCCTCTACCTCCCTAAGTGCAAGTGCTGGGGTTACAGGCGTGTGCCGCCACGGCCATCCATGAGGGGCATTCTTCTACAAACCACCACACGAACCCTTAGTAACTTTTTATGGTGTCCTTTATATAGGTGTGTTTTATTAGGTTTACGTCTAAGCCTTTCTTTTGCATTTATTAATTTGTGTGTGTGTGTCCCCTGATGTGCATGTAGATGGCAGAGGACAGCTCATAAGAGATCTCTTTCCACTTTGTCCTGGGAATGGAATTCAAATCATTACTCTTGAAGGCCAGCATTTATATCTGGATACCATGTGGTTGCCTTAGGCTCTCAGGGACCAGAAGAGCGCATTGGATCTCCTGGAGCTGGAATCACAGATGGTTGTGAGCCAGAAGCCAAACCTTGGCCCTTGTGAAGAGCATCCAGTGAATTGTTTTAACCGTTGATCCGTCTCCACTGGTCTCTCCAGTTCACGAAAAAGCCTCTTCCTTCCAAAGACCCTCACTTCAGTTTTCTTTCCACAGTTTATTACATTAGTACAATGTTGGACAGAAATGATAAGAGGAGACTCATTTGTTCCAAATGATATTAGAAGGTTTCTAGTTCTCACCACAGACTTTTGAGTTAGAGTAGGACTACAGTAGATAATCTTTTTAAATTTTTTACTCGCATCAAGGCCAGGGTGTGTATGTGTGTATGTCAGAGGCCAACTTACAGTACTTGTTCTTTTCTTTTTCCTTTTATGAGACAGGGTCTGTATTAGGTGGTTTTTCCTCTTGTCCTTTAACTCCCAGAATAATAGCTCATGAGACTCATTAAATATTATACAGATACCTGGCCATATAGCTAAGCTCTTCTCTGACTAGCTCATAACTTAATAACCCATTTATACTAATTTTCATTCTGCCATGTGAATGGTTACCTGAGCTCAGTACCACGTGGCCTGTCCTCCTCACATCTTGCCAGCTGAATCTTCCTCGCACCTGACTCTAACCCGGAATCCCTCTGCCTACTGGATGTTCCACCTCCTATTTCCTGCCTAAGCTATAGGCCATAGATTTTTGTTAAATTGGTAGGTGTTATAGATTCCTTCTATAAGGATCTCTCTGGATAGCTCTGGCTGTCCTGGAACTCACAATATAGACCAGGCTGGCCTCAAACTCACGAAGGCTTCAGTCTACTGAGTTCTGGGAGTAAAGATTTGTGCTGGTAGTTTGTTTTCTCCTTCCAACATATGGGTTCAAGGAATTGAACTGAGGCCCTCAGCTTAGTGGCAAGCTAAGCCATCGCAACCCAACTATCCCCAGATAGTACTTTACAAAGTTAGTCCCAACTTACTTAGAATTTTTATTATGACACTTGGGAGGCAGAGCTAGATGGATCTCTGTGAGTTTGAGGCCAGCCTGGTCTACAAAGTGAATCCAAGACAGCCAAGGCTACACAGAGAAACCCTGTCTCAAAAAAAAAAAAAAAAAAAGGAATTTTTATTATGAATGATGTTTTATTTGGGCATTTGTTGATAAAGTCACATGACTGGTTCTCCTTTACTTTGTTGTGATAGATTACATTGTTTTCAAACATTGAAATAGCCAAGATCTGGCCTAGATCATGTGTTGCTTAAAAGAAGGAAAACCCCAACCATTCTATTTTACCAGTGAAGACTCAGGAGCCAGATGATGTGGTGATGCTAGCTCAGAGAGGCAGAGAAAGTAACCAGCTAACCTTCCTTCTCAGCTCAGGTCTGGATGGAAAAAACCCAAAAGGCTCACTAGCTCAGCTGAAGCCCAGGAGCAAAAGGCCAAAAGCTTGCTAGCTCAAAGCAGCAAAAGGTAGGGGGCTGAGGGCCTAAAGCTAGAGCTTGAGCAAATAGTTCTTCTTCACACTGTCTTAAATACCCCTCAACTCAAAGTCCCTCCTACCATTTAATCCCTATCAGCTGGTCTCTTGACCTAGGATTAACTTTATTAAATGCAGTGTACAGAAAGCTTTTAGATTAAAGGTGTGTGATAGGGCTCAACCAAACCAAAGAAACAGGCTTTTACAGGTCACTATTTTGGGCTTTGCAGTGGGATCAAATGTCTTGCAATAACCATGCTCTATAGTTCAGTTTGTTTGTTTTTGGTTGATTGGTTTTGGTTTTTTTGAGACAGGATTTTTCTGTGTATCCTGGTCAGAATACTCACTCTATAAACTAGACTGGCCTCAGATTCAAGGATCTGCTCACCTCTGTCTCAACTTCTGCTTCATAGTGTTCAGAGCTAACCAGGGCAGCACAGCCTGTATCTTAGAGGGGAAAATGTTCAGTGGAGAGAGCAGAATCCCTGGTGCCCTGGGACTGAAGATTCCAGGTTGTGTGCACATGCAGGCTAGAATGCATGCTACGCTGCACCTGGCAGATAAGTTTCATTCATTGTTAGGTTAAGTCCAACAGTATATAATAAGCATTCCTGTATCTGTGTTACTGGGTAATACTGTGTGGAGATTTATTGTTGTGTCATCTGGTTTTAATATTAAAGCAAACTGATCTCATTGAAGGAATCAAGATATAATGTCTATCTTCTTCA